GGATGTCTGATCAAGCTGGCGCAGTTTATTGGCAGCAGGCTTAATTTATACAGGTCAGCAAGGAAGGGGAGGGTCAGAAGATGATTGGTCCCCAGGTGGTGCTGGCAGGAATGTGTATAAGGGTGATTGGGTCTCGGTGGGTACTGGCGGGAATAGTAAACCCGGAAAAGAAGCAGGAAATCCGCCATCTTGTGGGTGCGGGCCCTTTTGGTCTCCGGCAAAAGGGCCCTAGAAGCCTGAGCAGCCCCAGCTCCTCCTTTTCTGCCTCCTCGCCCCTTTGGTTAAGAGCTCAGCTTCGCGATCCAGAGCTCCTACTTGCGGGACCGGAGCAGCGGGCCCGCCCCGCCCCCAGCTCTTAGGCCCCGCCCCGGGCCCCCGCCCGGAGTGTTCCGAGGTGGCTGGTCGTCGCCAGCCCACTCCTCTCTGGTGGAACGCTTTGCTCGCGGCGCTATTTTTCTATAAAGTTGTTGTTGCGGCTTCCGCCGCGGGTGGAGGAAGATGGCGTCTGGCGGTGGTGGCTTTTGCTCTTCGGAAAGACTCCCTCCGCCCTTCCCTGGCTTGGACCCGGAGTCTGAGGGGACGGCCGGGGGGTCAGAGCCCGAGGCTGGGGACAGCGACACCGAGGGGGAGGATATTTTCACCGGCGCCGCGGCGGCCGTGAGTTCACACCCTTCGGGGCGGCGGGCGGGCGCCCCAAGAGGGAGGAGAGGCTAAGCGAGGGTCAGAGAGGCTGGACAGAATGGGCCCAGCGAGACCCTGCTTTGGTGACAGTAGTCGTGGCCTGGGGACCCTGGATGAGCGCTCAGATGCAGGACCTGGCTTCCCGGGCCCTGGGCGGACGGTGTGCCGGCCTCCCCACCGAGATCCACGCCAGCGAACAGCCACCGAGGCCGGCATTTGGCCCTGCAGTGAGGCGACCCCGGGCCCACCGGGCTGTTTTGCAGGTCGTTTCCTGTCGGGCTGATTTAATAGGTCAAGATAAGGGAATGAGGAGCAGACTTACCTTTCCCTCGCCTCTATGCTCCTAGGATGAACAGTGTTATCTGGAGCGGCCCAGGATGATGACCCGCCCACAAATGCTTTTGTTAGCCCAACACTTACACGGGTAATTACCACGGCCTTGCCTAGATTTTAGTTGATTAGTTAGGTTGACTCCTTTGATCTCTAGGAAGACCCTGCCGGTAAATCACTACATAGGCAAAAGGTTTGCCCCTTTTAGAGGGATGTGTTAAAGTGCCTAAGTACCTCAGTAAGAGCAAATATGTAAATGTGTGTCGGGGTGTTCCCCACAGTAATAAGATTTAGGCATTGAGAAAAGCTAATCCTTTGGGGAAGAATGTAGAAATCAGTAGTCAGTTCTGGAACCAGTGGAGATGTTTGGGGCTGTTTTATAAGAATACTGACTCATACGACATGGTACAGTTTGTTCCAAGTTGAAAACTTCTTCAGTGCTAGGTCTGTGAATTTATGCATCTTCCCATCATGGATAGTACTTCTCTTTATAGTAGCTCCTCAGTGATGAGGGACTAAATAGCTAGTAGTGACTAAGTAAAACAGCGTTAAATTCTTTATGCAGCATGTGTCTGGAAAAGTTTGAGGCTTGTCTTATTTATGTCAGAAAAAGGTTGAATTTTTTGAAAATACCTTCTGTGACAATCATTAGAATTTTCTGTGTAGTGAATTGAGTCCATAATCCCAGCTCAATAAATATTTGCTGATGTTAATGTAACAGGTCAAACTGCCTAATAAACTGTTGTTCTGATAAATAATTCTTGCACCAATTTAGTCTTTTTGTATCCCATTTAAACAAGTCTTTAGTCTGTTACTTTAGTAATTCTCCTATATGCCATGGAGAACAGCTGCTGTTAATAACTTCTAGGGTGGTAGATAGAGTGAATATCTGAGAATAGATACCCTGGCACTGGAAGTGATTGGTCACATAGACAAATGATGATTTTCCGAAAAGGACCCTGGGAAGGTGAGGAGTTATTTTCAAAAGTTTTCCAAAAGAGTTTCTGGATCTCACCAGATTACTTCACAGCGGCGTCAATGCTTCTCTCTTGTACGACTGTAAAAATACCTTGCCTGATTTCCAGCCAAGGAGGGCAGGGGGCTCAGAATGAACTTGTTCTACCACAAAAAGCATAATTATTTTTTTTAAGTTTTGAACCAGGAAAACTGAGTTGCTGAGAAACTAAAATAACTCCTGTAAGCCATTTTCTGAGCTGCCTGTCCTGATGTTAATCTCCAGGAAGCCAAGACCCTAAGATTCATCACAAGTTAGGCTTTGAATTTCTTATTAAATAGCCATTGAATACAAATTATATTCCAATAAATGCTTTAGTTGAGAGCCAGTGTAAGAGGATAGGGGATTGCAGTGCTTCCTGTATCTTAAGAAACAACATTGAAGGATAAAGTAATTAACATGGGCTTTGAAGGAGGGTTTAAATCCAGGCTCTATTACTTACTAGGTTATCCTTGGGCAGGGTTCTTAGTTACTCTGTACAGCTTCCTCACCTGTAAAATAGTGAATAATAACAGTACTGACCTCGACCATTAGTATGAGGATTAAATTAGAATACCTGTAAAACACTTAGAAAAGTTGAGCATTTTGTAAACTGGAATTACTCTAACAATCAAAAACCCACAATATCTCATAATGGATTGGAAAAATTAAATAATCCTAAACATGGTTAATATGGTTTATCGAAGTCAAACTAGTAATAAGATTGATTTCATTAGTTAAAAGCCATAAAAGTAGGCACTTAATGACTTCAACAGCATCGTACTGATTTTTCTTCATATTGTGTTTTGTTGTGTGTTGAAGGCAAAAAGAGAGGGGCCTTAAAGAATTGTGAAGCTAAGGTGTGTAAAATTTAAAATTACAGGACATTGATGTAACAGCTGCTTCTGTTAATCATCCCATCTGCTCTTTTAGAGCCCCTCTAATAGAGTAATAAAAATATGATTTGATTTATAATCCACAGAGCAGCCCATGATATCCATCTCAGAATCTATAAACGAGTTACTTGAATGGAATAGACAGGAGTTAAAAGAATTATTAAAGTAAATCTGAAATCATTGTCTTCAGGCTGAAAACCAGCTTTTGGAAGATCTGATTCTTAAGACTGCTTCAGACCTTACCTTCCTTCTGCTAATTACTTTGTAGGCCTATAAATAAAAACGTTTAAAATTCTAAATTTATTATCTGAATCTTTGGTTGGACGTGAATCCAGATATGTACCTTTTTAGTTAAATCTTTCTTAGTTCTGAGATAGGCTTAACTTTTCCCTTAATAAAATGAGAGACTATATTGGAGCCATTCTTGTGACTCTCCTAATTCTCAAAACTATTGTGTTAAAAAGATTAAATGGCATACATATTTTTATACCTCATTTGCCTTCACTGGTCTTGTTTGCATACTTCTTTCTGAACCTAAGTGATAGAACGGAAGCAAATTCTTTATTTGCCTTTCCAGGAGTTCTATGCCAATTCCTTTATAGTTGTATTCCAGGACGACAATTAGAATTGCCCTCTAAATAAAAGAGGAGAACTATGGAGGCCTTTCTTATGCCGAGGGGAAGAAGGAAAACATAGGTAACTGATACCCTCAGTTCAGATTTTGGTCATATCTGGTAACTTCTTTTGATAGTAGACCAATTAGAATTTTTTTCCCCACTACTCTTACTCTTGAATTGAAACCCTAGTAATTAGTGAAGTGGCCAGAAAGAAGAAATTGGTTAAAGAATGAATAGCAGGGGACTTGAAAAACCATATATTGAATAATTTATCTTTGATTAATCAAGGCTTATTTATATGCTCCCACTGGTGTAGAAAGAGCAATATGGCTTTTATTTGTATTCGAAAGTCTTAGATAACAATTAGCTTCTGACTGATATTGATTCAGAGGTTACAGAGAATTTTATGAATCTAAGTTGTATATAAACATCTAGACAAGAAAGGACATATTTTTAGACTCCAGCACCACATCTGTGATCAATGTAGCATGTATGCCGAGAGGCAACAAATCAGCTTTTTTTTTGTAGTATAAAACATACAAAACTTACCATCATAGCCATTTTTATTTTTACAGTTCAGTAATGTTAAGTAATGTACACACATTTTGTGAAACAGATCTCCAGAACTTTTTCATCTTGGCAATTCCAAAACTCCATACCTAGTAGATAACAATCCTTCCTCCCTTCCACAGCTCCTAGTAACCACCATTCTACTTTGTTTCTATGGATTTGGCTATGTTAGATAACCTTATGTAAGTGGAATCATGCAGTATTTGCCTTTTTATAACTGGCTCACATTTTAATATCCTCAAGTTTCATCCATGTTACAGCATGTGTCAGAACCTCCTTCCTTTTTAAGGCTGAATAATATTCCATCATCTGCATATACCATAGTTTGTTAATCCATTCATCCCTCAGCGGACGTTTGGATTGCTTCTACTTCCTGGCTCTTGTGAATAGTACTGCGTTGTGAACATGGGTGTGCACATGTCTCTTCAAGACTCTGCTATCAGTTCGTTTGGATAAATACCCAGAAGTCCAATTGCTGGGTCATATTATAGTCCAGTTTTTAATTTTTAGAGGAATCTCCATACTGTTTTCCATAGCAGTTGCATTGTTTTATAATCTATCTCAGCTCTATTTTAAGATCAGTTTATTTCCTTTTTGAGTGCTTATAAGATAACTTCTTCACATCTGCACATAATTTGGTTATTTTATTAAAAAGCCCTAAGAAGGCATAAATCTGCAAAGAAGTAAAAAGCTAACCTTTTCAAACAATATGGCTTCTCTCTCACTTACCAACTTTACATTTCCCTGTATGGCCCCGGAAGATGACTGGTTAGCCAGAGACGGGTAAGATTCCTCAAGGGAGGAACAACCTAAGACAGGCACAGTCGCAGGGGGGCCATCAGGTGAGAATTTGGGGATCAACAGAGGTGAGGCTCAGAACCTCACCCCCCCTGCTTTGAGAGAAATCTTCTGCATCCGTGGATGTCTTGCTGCCCTTGTCTAGCCTGGATTAATACTTAGTCCATAGGCACACACCTGATCATCTGATCATCTACATTTGCCTTCTTACAGCACTAAACTATGTTTTCTACCTTTATCTTGCATCTACCTACCACTTCAGCATTTTATTAAAAATAAAAATAATAATAATAATAGGAGAAATGTGGGATCAACATATAAATCAAGTACAAAAATCAAATGAATATTCATATTTGACCTGATGGTTTATAGGTCATATTGCATGATCAAAACCGAAAGTTTCTGTGATGA